CGTAGGTTGACAATAAACTATCAAACCTGCTCAATACGCTTGCTTGGCCGGCNTATATGAATGCACAAAATATCAAAAATACCAAGTGTGAGTTTCCCCCATAGGTTGACAATAAACTATCAAACCTGCTCAATACGCTTGCTTGGCCGGCCGTCTGCGTAGCAGCACGCCGGTGTTTCACCGCGAGGGCTCGTCTTCCTCCCAAACGGGGGACTTGCCTTTTTGCCCATAGCTTTCCTCACTCCATTGCCTTTTAAGACAGTTAAGACCTTTCTAGTGGCAAATTTTAAATTTTTTAAAAATATATCTTTATTGATTTCAGAGAAAGGAAAGGAGAGGGANAAAAAAATTTTTTTAATATATCTTTATTGATTTCAGAGAAAGGAAAGGAGAGGGAGAGAGAGAGATAGAAACATCAATGATGAGAGAGCCATNCTTTATTGATTTCAGAGAAAGGAAAGGAGAGGGAGAAAGACAGACAGAAACATCAATGATGAGAGTCATTGATCGAACCCACAACCGGGCATGTGCCCTGACCGGGAATCGAACCCCGATCGCCTGGATCCTAGGTCGANGAACCCCGATCGCCTGGATCCCAGGTGGATGCTCAACCACTGAGCCACGCCCGGCCGGGCTCTAGTGGCAGATTTTAGTCCACATATTACGTCAAAAGAATCTTGATTTTTCAAACGAACCTTTTTAGTGTTACAGCATGGTGGGTTTCATTGAACATGACGCGTAATAATTACATTGTATTGTTTAGGCTAATTCACAGCTATAGGAACATTTTTGGTTCTTAAAATGTAACCAAGATGAGACTAGAAAGTCACGAGCAGTAACACCAGAGAACAGCAAACGAGTCAGGACGATGATTTTTCATCCCTGGCCATAGAATTATTTTGCTTTCAGGAATCGGGAAGAAACTGTCTTCTTTGGGTTTCAAATGTTCCGGTAAATCTAGTCGTCTCTTGGCTTCCTCGATATCACCTTGAATGGCTGAAATAAGTGACTCCGGAGAATCCAAGTTCTCTTCTGGTCCGAGGTGGCCCACGGTGCCACAGGGGACTCCCCGTCAAAGGCCTCGCTGAAGGTGCGTGTGGAGGCGTCTCCGCCGGCTTCGTGCTCCTGCAGGATGGGCTCCACCCCGCTCACCACCGCCTAATGGACATCACCTCCTGCCCTGGCGCTCCCGTCCTAAATGCCAGTGGACGCGTCGGCGGGAAGAGCATCCACTGCTTGTCCAGGAAAGTGAGCTGCGGGGATCCCGGCCGCTTGGAGCCGCGGCCACAGCCCCGCACCACTTGGCCGCCCAGAAGGGCAGGGGCTTCGCGGCCGCGCCCAGTCCGCAGATCCCGCGGAGCCGCCGTGGGGC